AATTACTATTTCAAATTAAAAAGTAATTTTAATTTAAAATTAAATAAATTTGATTTTAAAAATAAAATAAATAATTACTTTATAGACTAAATTCATTTTCTCAGTTTCTTTACTCTTCTTATTTTTCATAGGCTAAATTCATTCTCATAGAATTTTTGTCACTATTCGAATGGTATATTCTCTATCTCATAAATTCTTCTATTTTATTATAATTTTTTTAATATATTGCATAATTTTAGTAATTTTGGGTTTTAATTTGTATTTAAACTGATTTTTTCATTTTAGTTGGAGGTTTATATATTGGGAGAATCTCTTATATAAGGTAAATGACTTTGTGTCATTTTTTTTTTTCATTTTTATGCTATTAATTTGTATTATATCCTATGATGGTTAATTTGAAATATTATTTTTATTTTTGTTTCTTGTGTTTTTGTAGGGGGATGTCTTAACACAATTTATGGTATGTAATTATACTTTGATTTTCTTGAAGTTTTATTTTTTTTTTTTTGTGATTTAAAGATGTTTTTCATTTTTTCTTAATTTTCTAATTACTTTATTTATCTATTTATTTATTGTAGGTGGAAGAATGGATATACCATTTTAACTCCGTTTTCTTCTTTTTCATTTGTAAATTTTTCTTTCTTTTTTTTTTATGGGTGTAAATTTTTTTTATAGATAGATTGATTTGTGTAATTAATCATTAATTTTTGTATAAAATTATCAATATTATTGCTAATGTATATTAATTTTTAATTAAAAATTTAATTTTTATTATTGAGTTTCAATCACCATATTATTATTGAGTATCAATAATAATGATAACAGTAACATATCAATTACTATTATTATGCTTATTATATTAAAACTCAATAGTAATTTTTTTTTTTTTAACCTGATAATAGTATTAACATCAACCAATTAATTGACTCTCATTCTGGTGCAATACTAGTAATATCGGAACTTTGGGTTCAGCCAATAACATATATTTGTGTGAACATTTGTGTCAACTTCAGCTGATGCAATTGTTTTGGATATCAACGTCAACCCTTTTCGTGTTGATACAAATGTATTTGCGACGCACTTTTCAATATCAAAATCAGCGTTCACATAGCTAATGTATTTGCTTTTCTATCTGCATCAATTTCCTTCTATCTGCGTCCATATTTTCTTAGGCAAATGGGGTTACATTCTTGTAGTGACCATTGCCTTTCCTTCTCATATTTGTCCAAAAGTGTTATTGAAAAGCTTGCTCTAAATTACCATGCATGACATAGGAAAAACCCCACCAGCTTAAGTATTTTGACCGTAGTTTCCACGCAATCAAGCAATTTAATAGCAAATGATCAACACTTTCATTGCAGGAGCCGCACAAATTACAAATAACTTGGGGTTCCTCCACATTTCACAGACCTAGCGCAAGATGATTCTGATTTGCGTCATTAGAATTTGATATCCTCTAATACTTAAGAAAAGTAATTTTGTAATTGAAATAATTGATTTATGAATGAATTTTTCGTTAACAAATTTGTTACTTTATGACTAATAGCTCAACTCAACTCTTTATGGTTTTAGAAAAGAAAAAATCAAATATCTTGACATTAAAAATGTCAGAATATTTATTTACAACTATTAAATTAATGTGTAAAATGTAATATAAGTTTTAATTTTATTAAATTTATCATATAACTATTATTAAATATTCTAATATTTTGAAAACTAAAACATCCTAATTTTTTTTTCTTATAGTCAACAAGAATACAATTACACCTCCAGACAAAAACCAGCCCCTGAGAAAACACATAAAATACAAAAACAGTGAAAAAAAGAAAACACGGGTTTGAACTTCCAGCTACAAGAACCAATGGGAAAGATGCAGTGGGACTCCAGTCTCCAGAAGGCAACGACCGGGAAGGAAGAATCCAAAACTGAGGGCTAATGAGCTACGACCCATGACAACAAAAGTAAGAAAGACACTACTAACTACTAAATGAGGACGCAAAATAAAAAACCCATTATATATCCATACCCTCTTTATTTCATTACAGAGAAATGGAAGACTAATACTTGGCTATCGTGAAGGCCGAAAGAAAAAAGTGCCATGGCGATCCTTTTCATGGAAGTGTTGAAGACGCGGAAGTAGGAAATTAAATGTTTTAAAAAAATAAAATAATACTTAAAAATAAAACAATACTTAAATTGTCATTCACCCGTAAAATAAAATTCATGCTAGCAAATTAACGATCAGTCATTTTGACTTGAAGAACTTAATTATAATTGGTTCACTAATCTACCCAAAGAAAGAAGATTTTTTTTTTGGCAAACCTTTTATTTCTTGACAGATAATGATATATAGATAATTTTTTTTAATAATCATTTTATAAAATTTTCATATATTATTAAATAAATATATATATAATATTATACAAGTATGAATTAAAATAATAAATTATTTAATTGACATGTAATATTTTATATAAATATTATTTCTAAATCATTTTTCATTTTTTTAATGCATCACATTTACATCAATAAGATTTCAACTCATGACCTTTTATTTTTATTGGAAAAAAATTTACCAACCACTTAAGTCTTAATTTTTTGTCAAACAAAAGGGAATTTGGGGGAAGAAGGATTGATTTTTACAAAAATTAAAACCAAGGTATTAATCCAAGTAAACTTTGCACCTTATTCACACTA